GCACATCAGTTACAAGAAGGCCCAACTCAACCTGTGTTAATAATTTTTTACAGATAAGTTTTGAAAAAAAGAAAGATTTATTTTGAAAAAGTGATGAAAAAAACTTTATCACTCAAAATTTTTAAGGAATTATCTTTATATTTGTCTCAGGATATCCACTCCCAAAATGATGTGTTAGAATGTCTTGAAGAACACCAAGATGACTTATCGCAAGCATGTCAGAAGCAGATATATCGTCTTGCTGAACTGTCTTCAGATGACTACCATCTTGATCGCCCCTTATATTATGCCTGTAAAGATGACAGGGAGAGGTTTTGTGTTGATGTCCCATCAGGGGAGGGGAGAGTGTACAAATGCTTGAAGAAACACAAGTTAGAGGAACAAATGAGTGATGAGGTACGTGGTGTTCTGAACAATGAGATAACCTCATTACCAACTGGTGTGTTTGCTAGTTGTTCTACCTAAGGTTTGTTGTTACAAGGCAAAGTGATATTAACAAGAGCACATAGTGCTGATAGTAGGTATTTTTTGGTGTAAGCCAGGCACAGTCACAGTCACATTGCTGCCATCAGTTAATGCCCCAGTTGCAAATGGAGGCTAGCTGCCCTGGGGGCTTAGGGTCTGCTACACCAAGGAACTAGAATACCTGACTTTGGATCTGAGTAATTTAGAGAAGGATTGTTGTTGCTTAAATTGATTGATGTTTTTACAATCTGAAAGAAACTGATCATCATAGTTAATTTACCAGATTCTTGGTGGGATGTGAAAGTGGCAATCACTGATACAGAAATGAAAACCAGTCCTTTTCAGGACTACTTGCATTGCGGTGTAGGGTCCTAAGAAATTTTTCTCAATCTTTCATGATACTGCACTTCTGATTTAAGTGAGTCCAGATGTAACTTTCAAGCAATAACTTCATAAGTGTTTGGTAGTTTCTTTCCTCAAATTATTTTGTGTCACATCCTGAAGTTCATTAATTTGTTTTCATTTTTTATCCCATAGTGTAAAGATAAGTTGACAGAGAGACAAAAATTGGAAGCTAAGGATGCTAAGGTGAGACATCCATACCAAAAAATTTTCAAGTTTGGGAAGTGCTTTTCCAATTTAATTTATTCAGCCCTTTAGTGTTAACTGCCTAGTGGGAACACTGCCCTGAAATCTTAATTTTTCTCATCTTAAGGGAAAAAGGAAATTGTGTGAAACTATTTGGAGATTTAAAATGTTTATGGGAAGGGAAGTCTATTTTGGTTAAAATTACTTGGAGTTTTGGGAAAAGGATAAAGAAATCAGATTATTCTGTGTGCAAGCAAGAAGAGTAAGTGGAAGATGAATTGCTTGTATTAAAAGTGAAGTGGGCACTGTGCAGTCCAAAGCAAAGCAAAGGGGTAAAACTTGAAAGAACAGAGAAGAAATCCCATCTAGTTACAGTCTTGAAGCTTGAAATCATAGAGCTTTAGATTTTGCATTTGGGCAATAAATCTGAGCTGAAAAAAATTGATCTGCAACTTACAGTACAGACCCCTAACTTGGTATGTAAGAGGTATGTTTCTTCTGTTGGAATATTATAACTGATGAGAGGGATCTTTTTCTTCTTTGAAGGCCAACTATCCAC